CTTCTAACATCTTGGTAGGTTTACAAGAGGAAGTCAAAATAAGGATATGTGTTCAATTTGCCATGTTTAACCAGGTAGTGTTTTCAGTTTGCAATACTTTAACACAAAGTAATTAATGAATTAGTTAAAAATTCTAGCTTGTAACAAAGCCTACCAAACATTGATATGCTCTCTAATCTTTATTTATGACTTAAATATTACAGACCAGTATTTCATTTTCTCTTGCTTTTGAAGAGATTTAATTTAAACTTTGTCAATAATGTTTTTTTTTTTTTTTTTTTTTTGCTAATTGATTGTAAATATTCAATGTAATTTAGAAGGTAAGATTCTTTTCAGTATCTAAATCATTTAGGGAACAGTTCATAAACTGTTTCAGTGTTCAGTCCATCTCAGTACAGGTACATATCTTAAGGAACACATCCCCAGTGGATTTAGACTGTAGACTGCTGATTTACTGAAAGCATAACTGGCCATAGGCTTGCTCTTCTCTGAGTGTATTTATAATGACTTGTTCAACTAGTCCCCAAACAATCTTCTGAGCTCATTTGTCTGAATCAGTAGGGAAAAGAACCAGAACAAGATGTCAAATGCAATTCCCATAAATAACAGAAAAATATATGTGTAAGCTGAATAACATTTTGATAGTGTTAGTGTAAGTATGCTTTTTAAATCTCTAGACAGTAGTGTGTGTATTGGAGAGAACATATTCCTGCTATATCCCCATTTTGTATAATAGTATCTGACACACAGGTAGGAACTCTATTAATATTTATCGGCTGAATTCTCGGGGGATTTCAACTATAGCTTCTTGACTTCTACTGGGTATACTTGACCTCACTTTCATGAACAGATTCTATCCCACACTCTCCAGTCTGGCTTCTTGTTCTCTAGTCTCATTTCTGTGTCATCAGGGGCTTGGGCAGAGATGGTAACACTGACTATTCTATAAATCTGTAATAAATATTTTTATGGCTTTTAATCAAAATATTTTGAGGGTTTTATCCGACTATAAAATTAGAATACTTATTATAGAAGAGGTGTACAGTACAGAAAAAAATATGAAAAAGAAAATAAAAACCATCTGTGATCCAGAGATAATTGGTTAATATTTTATATGTTTTCTTATAAACTTCTAATGACTGTATGTATCAAGGGAAATAGAAACCACTCTACATATTATAACAGGAAGGGCTTTGATACAAAAAACTAGAATTTGCAAAACCATTGGAAGATTTTGGGGAGCAGAGGTAAGAAAACCTACACTGGCTTCAAGAAAATAGAAAGTGCAAGAACCACAGAAAAGAACCATTGATAATCTTAGCTCCTGATGTAAGTGATCCGCAGAAGTGTGCCTTGAAATGACTATGGACTTCACATCTATATAGTCTGTCCATATGTTTGCCCACTGCTGCCAGGGGAGAAAAAGGGCTTCTCCTTCTCATCTGCCTTCCAACTCTTATATAAGTGCCTCTTAAGGTGGAATGTAAGTGAGAACTCTGCTGGTAAGGAAGTCTGGACAGTCTAGTTTCTGAGCATCAGAACCTATGATATAGGTGGGGGTGTACATCCATGCATACCCTTCCACCCATATTCATTCAGCCAAATAACCGAAAACATTATGCAACTATCCTTTGTCCAAATGAAGACCCATCTTTTTGCAAAAAATAAGATTCTCCAGTCTATGAGTCATTGGTTCCATCTCTATTAGAAGTTTATTCCTTTTCTGTTCATTCACAAATCCTCATTGATATCCTGGATATAAAGATTAAATTAACAAGTTTAACCACCATCAATATATTGTTGTTGTTGTTGTTAGGTGCCATCAAGTCAGTTCCGACTCAAAATGCCCCCATGTCAACAGAACAAAACGCTGCCCAGTCCTGTGCCATCCTCAGAACTGTTGCCATGCTCGAGCCTATCATTACAGCTACTCAATCCATCTCCTTGAGGGTCTTTCCCTTTTTGGCTGACGCTCTACTTTACCAAGCATAATATCTTTCCCTAGAGAGTGGTTTCTTCTGATAACAAGACCAAAGTACGAGAGACAAAATCTGGCCAGCCTTGTTTGTGAGGAGTTTACTTCCTACAACCACCCCAAGTACTCCCAACTGGACTTCCAAGACAGATTTATTTGTTATTCTAGCAGTCTGTGGTACTTTCAATATTCTTTGCCAACACCACAACTCAAGTGCATCAATTCTTCTTCAGTCTTCCTTATTCATTGTCCAGCTTTGACATGCATATGAGGCTACTGAAAATACCATGGCTTGGGTCAGGCACACCTTGGTCTTCAAAATGACATCTTTGTTCTTTACCACTTTAAAGAGGTCTTTTGCAGCAGATTTGCCCAGTGCAATACACTGTTTGATTTCTTGACTGCTTTCATAGGCACTGATTGTGGATCCAAGTAAAATGAAATCCTTGACAACTATGGGGCCAGAGTTGATAAGTATAACTTCTTTCTTCTGCTACCCACTCCATGTCTCATACTTAGTGAAAACCTCAGTTGTTTGTGGGGTTTCAGTATATGGTAGAGTGACTCAAACCTTCATTCCTGAAGGGTCTGAGCCATGGAAGTCCTATGTGTATTGGCTTACCATAGCCTTACTTTAACTTTCACTGCTTGGCATGTAAGTACTAAGAGAATTTCATAAATGCTTTTTTGTCCTCAGTGAGGAGCAGCATCTCTGTTTCCCCTTAATAATCATATTCAGTCACCCCTGCCCTTTTTACCTGTTGGTTCAGTACTCTGCAGAGCCCAAAGTGGCTATGTGGCAGTCAAAACTTCTAGTTCATTGGAATCATTGTTGAGCCCTGGTGACAGCATTAACCCCTTGAAGGCAGCAGCATTCAAAATTGCAAGGAAGCAAATATTTTATAAATGGATTATTAGGGATAATAGTGAGAGTAGCCACTCCTTGATTTGTGGGACTGTGTTTCTGACTATGGAAGAAAATATCACCGTATTTTGGTGTCTTCACGGAGCATATGGTATATCGTATAGGACAATGTTCCACACCTATGGTGTGTTGTGTCACCTTGAAGCCCCATATCTGAGTTCTTAATAGGCTATTCCACCATTTTATCAGTACAGTGCTTCTGGATAATAGAGTACATAGTGAGAACAGTGAATCCCATAACTATTTGTTCATTGTCTTACTTCTTTGGATGTAAAATTAATTTCTTGATGATAAGCAATATTGTGAGGGATATCACTATGGTGAATAAGATATTATTTGGGAAGTCCATAAATGTGATTGTGGAAAATGTGCTGAGGCAAGGAATGTTGCTTCCTCCATAATGGAAGGGGTTCAACACAATCAAATTGGTACAAGTGGTGACCTGGTCTATCTGGGCATGGTGCCACATTGAGTGGGAGCTTAGTTTTGCTTTGACATTAACACTCAGCACTCAGCAGTCATGGTAGCCCGATCAGCCTTGGTAAAAGGAAGTCCATTGTATTGAGTCTGCTGCCATGGCAATTTGATATGGGGGTGGTTGGAAAGAGGTGACTGACATACAGCAGATGTGACATCTTGTTCACATTATCAGGAGTCTCCTCTGCAGTGAATACTCTTTGCTGAGCATTCATAAAGAGCACAAGTGCTCAGTAATCTTGGAGTGATTTATTTATTTATAGATATCTGACCTTTTTCACCAGTCATCCAAATTTTTTTCCCTAAGTCTTTGGCCATTAGCCAACTTCCCATGAATGTCTGGCTTTCTCTTCTTCTAGGCAAAAAGAACCCCAAGGTATATTGTTGAAAATTCTACCACCTCTGAAGGTTTCCCTTCCTTATTTTGCTTTAGGGCTACCCCTGAAGCCTATAAGCTTCAGCAGTCTTCTTCCAGATGGCACCAGTATGTTGGCTCGGACCATGTGTAATTCAGGCCTGATTTCCTTCCTCAATCAATAGGTCATTGAGAACTCCTCATGAGATCATAGGTGTGAACTGAAGGAGAGCTGGCACAATAGCAAGAGTAGATGCCACAGGAGTCTGGGCTCATGTAACTTGTGCCTTTAGAAACCCCTCAAGCTGGCCTCTGTATAACCCATCCTCTAAAAGATGGAATGCTGCTCTCATGCCCAACTTTATGGCTTTGCGTTCATAATGGATTGCTCAGACTGCATAGTCACTTAATGTTTCATGCTTAAGCATTCAGTCTCTACTACAACCCATAGTAAATTAGTAGCTACTCACAAAAGAGGAATTTGATGACTCCCTTCTCAAGGTTTGACAGAGGCTTGATACACAGCTTATCTGCAATAGATTCTTTGAGCACCATTGGATCTGCTAAGTTGTAAGACCCAAGGAGTGCAGCTGGGGTCAGCTGCAGAACCTTCCCTTACTCTGGGCCCCACTCAGAGCATACAACCCTATAGGTTATTCAATGTAAGGTTTCAAGTAGCCAAACCAAACCCACTGCCATCAAATCAATTTCAACTCATAGTGACCCCCACTGAGTTTCAAAGGCTATAAATCTTTACTGAAGCATATTGCCTCATCTTCTTCCTGTAGAGCATCTGCTGGGTTTGAACCACAGACCTGGTTAGCAACCAAATGCCTTACCCACTACACCATCAGAACTCCTTAAGGTTTGGAGTAGTGCTTTCAAATGTAGTAGAAGTTGCCTCCAAAATCCACAGAGACCTGGAACTTGATAGGGTGCAGGTGGTACTGAAGGGCAACAGACCACATCCAACACACTATATATGCTTTATGTAATTGGAATTCCATTGCATATACAGTTTTGCTTTGGTGAGCATTATAAAGCCTTTGATATTTTGATGGTACATCTCTAGTCTTATTAAGCTCTGTCCCTGTGGTTTAACTTAAAAACCATAATGAGGGCAGTTCTCTGAATACATTGAAACCTCTTAAAAAGAATGCTTGATAGTGCAGTTTCTTTTAGTGGGGGGCATTTTATAGTGTATAAGAAAGTTTTGGTGCATGTTTTTAAACTTTAATAAGAATTCACGTTGGTGGTTGTCTGGACAGATGTGATGCCAGCATAGCCAGACTCTCTGCAGAGCACAAAACAACCTATGAGGGGCTTCAGCACTTGAACAAGGAACAGCAAGCTGCCAAACTGATTTTGGAAACGAAGATTAAAGATGCAGAGGGACAGGTATGGCCTGCTTCAGGTGGCATTTTCAAAGCAGTAATTTGTTCTTCGCTAAAAAAAATATGATGTTGATTATTTCTTACAGGAGAAACCTGCTGGAGCAGCCAGCATGGGTTTTTGCAAATCAAAAGCATCTCTTTTCTTTACTTCTTCTTTCCCTCTATTTCTGGAGTATGACAACTATACTTGCAAGATTTTTTTTTTTTTTTTTGATACAGTGCTACTTCTAATGATTCTTTCCTTTTATTCTTTAACAGTTAATATATTCCAAAAATTGTCAATTATATCTTCAACACAACCTCTTGCACAATAAGTGATCAACATTCTATTACATGCCACTTGTACCAATTTTTGGTTCAGGAAATACTTATCATCTCTGGGACCCATCTTATGTGTTACCTCAACACGTAGTCTTTATGTGGGACAAAATCAGGACAAAACTAGAAGGTAGGTTGTTGTTGTTATGTGCCGTCGAGTCTGACCCAACTCATAGAGACCTCTCCTTGGATTTCCGAGGTGGTATCACTATGGAAGTAGATTGCCCAACCTTCCTTCCGAGGAGTGGCTGGTGGGTTTGAACTGCCAGCCTTCTGGTTAGCAGTCAAGTGCCTTAGGCACTACGCCAACAGAGCTTCTTGAAATTTATGGATTAATTTCACAAAACCAAACCATTGGCACTTTACAACTTGTTTTATAGCCACTTACAAGTTTCTCTTTGCCATAAAGGGCCTGTCTTTAGAACTTTTTCCCACAGAATCTGCCCAACTTACTATACTTCATTTAAAGAGAGACTATTCCTTGGTGGCACAAACAGTGAAGTGCTCAACTACTAGCCAAAAGGTTGGTGATTTGAACCCACCCAGAGGCACTTCAGGAGACAGGTATGGCAGTCTGCTCCTGAAAGATCACAGCCTTGAGAATCCTGTGGAGCAGTTCTACTCTGGACACGTGGGGTCGCCATAAGTCAAAATCGACTGACTCAGTGGCAACTGATCACAACAACATTCTAGTAAATTAGAGGCGATGTATTGCGTCAAAAATATTTATATCCTAACTATCTCCAATAAAGATTCTGCAGCTACTTATGTAAAAAACATAGATATCATAAAACCATTTTTCAGAAAAAGAATAAAAGAAGTCTACTATTTTTTTTTAATGAGTAAGGTCAGTATTATTACATCAGAAAATCAAGGCTAAGGAAATTTTGAGCTTCCTGATGGCCAAGCCAAGTAAAATACACATACAATCCATCAAAAGAGACATTCTTCTTTTTGGATCTGACAAATACTTATTCTATGAATCATTAAGTAAGGAACCTTGAACATCATAATTTTTGCAGACAATGTAGACATTTCACACAGGACATGTTTTTACCTTTTAGTAAAAAGAAAAGGGAAATATGTGGGTAATGACAGAAAACAGAGGGAGGGATATATAGTCCACAAATTGTATTTCCTGTGACATGACTTGATACTGAGGTAAATCTGGGATGTTGATGGATTTTGTAAGCAAGAAGAATTCTGTTCTCTGTGACTAGCAGCCACAATGATGGTAGAGATTCCAAGGTCAAAATAACAATATTTTATGGCTGGTAGAAGTAGTGATCCTGATATTTTGGCAGTGCTACTGGTCTTGATTTTTAAAGGGTATGTATAAAAGAAGATGGTGGTGGAAACATGAGGCAAAATCATAAATAGATTCATTAAGTTAGATTGAATCTTTATGCTATTGACTAGAATGTAACTTACTAAATGTTTTCTGAAATGACATATGAAGAATTTAGATGTGATTTTTACAAGAGAGGTTTGTTTTCCAGATTTCTCAGCTTTTGAACAGAGTGGACTTGTCAATATCGGAGCAAAGCACCAAACTGAAGATGTCCCACAGAGACAGTAACCACCAACTTCAGCTTTTGGATACTAAGTCAGTAATAATTTATTTTTTTAAATTTTGTGGGTTGAACCTCTGTATGAGCTTGTCCATTACTGTAATTTTTTTTCTTCTTGGTTTTTATTTGTTGCACAAAGTAAAAACCATATCGGATATTAAAAGGAGAAGTTTCCATGGAGCATATTGGCACTTTACCTTCATTATTGTTGTTTTTAGTGGTTGGATAATAATCCATCAATTCATGCAGCACACATTTATTGAGCACTGGCCCAGGTGCTAAGGCCCCAGCAATGATTCTGTTCTTACCTTTATGGAGTTCATAGTCTAGGGAGTTGACAGACCTTCATTAGATAGTGACTCAAATAAGTATATAACGTGTTATTACCAACTGTGATAAGTGCTTTCAAGGAAAGGTACACAATTGTGGTAGAATGAACAAAGGTTCCTCCAAAGATCTCTACATCCTAATCTCCAGAGTTTGGGAATATGTTACATTATATGGCAAAAGAAAGTTTGCAGATGTGATTAATGATCTTAAGATGGAGATATGATCCTGGATTATCTGGGTCATCCCTGTGTAATTATAAGGGTCCTTATCAGTGAGAAAGAAAAGGGTCAGAGTCGGAGAGAATGCTATATGATGACAGCAGAGATTAGAGTGATATACTTTGAAAATGAAAGAAAGGTCCAAGAGCCAAGGAATGCAGGAAAAGCTGAAAAAGGCAAAGAAATGGATTCTCTTCTAGAGCCTTCAGAAGGAACCAGCCTTGCCGACACCTTGACTTTAGTCCACTGCAACTGATTTCAGACTTCTGTCCTTCAGGACTGTAAGAGAATAAAATTATGTTGCTTTAAGCCAGCAAGTTTCTGGTAATCTGTCACAGCAGCAATAGAAAACGAATGCAGCGGTGCTCTGAAAGGCTGGTGGTGGCAACCTCCTGAGAAGGGACGTTTGAAGTGAGATCTGAGGAATGAGTAGGATTCACTAGATAAAGAATAAGCGAGAACATATAGAATGGAATAGCCTGTGACAGGAGGAACATGGCGTGTAAGAAAGTGAAACATGGCTAGAGTGGCTGGGACAGAGTCAGGTGAAGTGGTGGGAGATGAGACTGGAGAGGAGGCAGGCAGCTTGCAGTGCCTTATGGGCCCCATTGAAGACTTTTTTGTTTCCTTTCTTAGGGTAATAAGAAGCCACTGGAGGATTTTAAGCAAAAAGGGTGATATAATCAGATTTATGTATTATTTTTAAAATGTCCTTGGTTGTGGCTGGAAAATGGGTCACAAGGGCTGAAGTGGAGATGGTAAGATCATTGGGGGGTATTTTGTTGTATTAGTCTAAGTGGGAACAGTCTGCTAGAATGATTTTGAGAGAGCTAGTTAGAGCTAAGGAGCTCTGGCAGCATAGTGCGTAAGGCATTTGACTGCTAACCAGAAGGCTGGCAGTTCAAACCCACCAGCCACTCCTCAGAAGGAAGGTTGGGTAATCTACTTCCAAAGTGATACCGCCTCGGAAACCCAAGGAAGGGTCACTATGAGTCCGGTCCAACTCGATGGCACATAATAGTTATAGCTAACAATAGTTTAAAAAAAAAAAAAAAATGCCAACTGCTATTGGGTCAATTCCCATTGGGTTTCCAAGGTTGTAAATCTTTACGGAAGTGGATACCTTCATCTTTCTTCTGTGGAGTGACTGGTAGGTTCGAACCACCGACCTTCTTGTTAGCAGTGAAATGCCATAGCCACTATGCCAGCAGAGCTCTTTAACAATAGTTGTTGTTATGTGCCATCGAGTTGGACCTGATTCACAGCGACCCCTCCTTGTGTTTCCGAGGCAGTATCACTACGGAAGCAGATTGCCTAACCTTCCTTCTGAACACTATAATTTATTATAATGTTTTTGTCATTAAGTGTTGTCAAGATGGTTCCAACTCATAGTGACCGTGTGTACATCAGAATGAAATACTGCCTGGTACTGGCCACCCTCACAATCATTGCTATGTTTGCAGCCCCTGTATCAGCCCATCTTATTGAGGGTCTTCATCTTTTTTGCTGACCCTTTACTTTACCAAGCATGATGTCCTTCTCCAGGGACTGGTCCCTCCTAATGATCTGTCCAAAGCATATGAGATGAAGTCTTACCTTCCTTGCTAGAAGCGAGATGTATTCTGGCTGTACTTCTTCCAAAATACATTTATTTGTTCTTTGGGCAGAACATGGTATATTCAATATTCTTTGCCAATAACATAATTTAAATGCTTAATTCTTCTTGGGTCATCCTTATTCATTGTTCAGCTTTTGCATGCATATGAGGCAATTGAAAATCTTGGTTCAGGCCCACGTTAGTCCTCAAACTGATATCTTTGCTTTTTAACACTTTAAAGAAGCCTTTGTGCAGCAGACTTGCCCAATACAATGCATCATTTGATTTCTTGATTACTGCTTCTAGGGTATTGATTGTGGATCTAGGTAAAAATTGACAACTGCAATATTTTCTCTGTTTATCATGATACTGCTTATTGGGCTAATTGTAAGGGTTTTTGTTTTCTTTATGTTGAAGTGTAATCCATACTGAAGGCTGCAATTTTTGATCTTCATCAGTAATTGCTTTAAGTCCTCTTCATTATCAGCAAACAAGGTTGTGGCGTCTGCATATCTCAGGTTGTTAATGAGTCTTCTTCCAATCCTGATGCTTCATTCTTCTTCATACACTTCAGAATAAGAATTGTGAAAGGAAACAACCTTGATGCATACCTTTCCATGCATTATCCCCTTGTTTTTCAAATGACTGTCTCTTGATCTATGTACAGGTTACACATGAGTACAACTAAGTGTTTTGGAATTCTAATTCTTTACAATGTTATCCATAATTTGTTGTGATCCACACAGTTGAATAGGAGCTCTGGTAGCATAGTGCCTAAGGCACTTGACTGCTAACCAGAAGGCTGGCGGTTCAAAGCCACCAGCCACTCCTCAGAAGGAAGGTTAGGCAATCTACTGCCATAGTGATACCGCCTTAGAAACCCAAGGAAGGGTCGCTATGAGTCTGGTTCAACTCGATGGCAAACAACAACAACAACAAACACAGTTGAATGCCTTTGCACAGTCAATAAAACACAGGTAAACTATTTCTGGTATTCTCTGCTTTCAGCCAAGATCCATCTGACATTAGCAGTGATATCCCTTGTTCCATATCCTCTTGTAAATCCACCTTCAATTTCTCGCAGTTTTCTGTAGATGTAGTGCTGTAACTATTTTTGAATTATCTTCAGCAAAATTTTACTTGCATGTGGTAATGATATAGTTAATTAATTTCTGCTTTCTGTTGGATCAGCTTTCTTTGAAATGTGCAAAAATATGGATCTCTTCCAGTTGGCTGGTCGAGTAACTGTCTTCCAAATTCTTTGGCATATACAGTGAGCACTTTCAGCATTGCATCCATTTGTTGAAACATCTCAATGGGTATTCTGTCAATTCCAGGAGCCTAGTTTTTCACCAATGCCTTCAGTGCAACCTGGACTTTTTCCTTCAGTACCACTGGTTCTTGATCATATACTCCCTCCTGAAATGGTTGAATGCTGACCAATTCTTTTTGGTACAATGAGTCAGTGTACTCCTTCCATCTTCTTTTGATGCTTCCTGAGTTGTTCAATATTTTGCCCATGTTGTTGTTGTTAGGTGCTGTCAAGTCAGTTCCAACTCATAGCAACCCTATGTATAAAAAAATGAAACACTGCCCAGTCCTGTGCCATCCTCACAGTCGTTATAGCCACTGATCAATCCATCTCACGGAAGGTCTTCCCTTTTCTACCAAGTAGAATATCCTTCTCCAGAGACTGGTCCCTTCTGATAGCATGACCAAAGTGCAAGAGACTAAAGATGGCCATTCTTGCTTCTAAAGAGCATTCTGGTTGCACTTCTTCCAAGACAGATTTGTTTGTTCTTCTTAGCAGACTATGGTACTTTCAGTACTCTTTGCCAACACCACAATTTAAATTCATCAATTCATACTCGGTCTTCCTTATTCATTGTCTAGCTTTCACATGCATTTGAGGCTATTGCAAATATTATGGCTTGGGTCAGGAGCACATTAGTTTTCAAAATGGTATCTTTGTTACTTAACACTTTAAAGAGGTCTTTTGCCCATAGAATCCATCAGTATTGCAACTTGAGGCTTGAATTTTTTCTTTAGTTCTTTGATCTTGAGAAAGGCTGAACATGTTCTTCCCTTTTTGTTTCTAACTCTAGTCTTGGCACATTTCATTGTAATACTTTATTTAGTCTTCTTGAGCCATTATTTTGACACTCGAAGTTGTATTTGCTGACAGTGAAGCTCATCTGCTGCTTTTGTGCTCAATCTCAAAGTCAGGACACCTTTAATGAATCTACATGAGCTTGGCATTTTCCTGCCATTGAAGAGCCAGTAACCAGAAGGATATAGGTATAAATTTGACTTAATATATTTTTTAAAAATGACTTCCTTATAGAACTCTTTAACTTTCTTTGAGACTTGTGGAAAGTTCAAATTAATCATTCTTGTGTCTCTTACATTTCATTACCTCCCTATTTAATGCCATTTCAGAGTTGTTACTGATTAAACAGGAATTCTCTTATGAAAACCATGTCTCCTTTCCCCTTGTTGTCTGTATTTATATAATCATTGAGTTATGTCATCATTTCTCATAGATCCTACAAGCTTGCCAAGTACACCAATCTCCTTCCTTCTATCACACAGGAAGAAAATAAACATTTTAGTAGTTTTTCTTCTGTGAATTATATCCTTAGGAGATATTCCCAGGAGACTGATTACTATGTCAACAGACATGAGCACATTTATTTTTCTTCCTATGGTTTAAAGTCTAGAAGTTTAGACACAAGGGATATTCACAGAGAGCAGGAGACAAGACCTAGACTTGTGCAAGGTAGAAGGTCAGAATGGAGATGGAAAAGGTAATACTTCAGGTGGATGAACTAGGAAAAAGCCCATTCCACAAGAGATCATTAGGAACCAATCCTTCCAAATATTAGCTCTGGATGAAGGGGTAAAAGATATTCCTTGGAAATCAAGGACCATAATTCAGACCTCATATGGATTTAGGGCCAGAATTCACATTATCCAAGTGATCTGAAGAAAACCACAAAGGGTAATTGCCAAAGGGGCAGGGAGGCACCATCTTCTGACCTTCTCTAACCCCACAAGAGGAAGACAGAATCACCATCTGTAGCCCAAGGTCAATTTCTGTGAGGCCAGACATGCTGCCTCCCTCCAGCCCTTTCAAAACCCTGATACCAACTATTCCTCCCACATTACCCACTACCTCTCTACTGGGATCAATAACTCACTGCAGTGGCTGTACAGAACTCACAGATTATGGGATTTATTAGGAAAGCAACAGGCTACAATTCAAGTTCAGGAACATGTGCAGTCTCTCTCAGCCTGCCATCTCTCTGCTGACAGTTTCTCTCAGCAGTGTGTGTCTCTCTCAGCAGTACATGTCTCTCAGTGTCTCTCTCAGTAGTGTGTGTCTCTTGCATCTCTCTCTTAGCAGCATGTGTCTCTCATGTCTCTCAGGAGTGTGTTTCTCTCAGTAGTATGTGTTTCTGTCAGCAATATGTCTTTCTCAGCCAGGAGTCAGAGAGACTCCTTCCTCTAGCAGGGCTCCTTTTAGCCAGGCAGGGTAGCCAAACTAACCAATCCCAACATCAGAATTCTATACACTGAGAGAGAGAGAACTTTGTGCCACTCAACAGAAATACCTCAGGTGGATAACTTTAACAATCAGGAACTACTCAGTTGTTCGTGGCAAATTCCACCTTGAAGTTTACAAAGACTTATGGCTAGAAAAGCCACAATAGGTGATTTACTACACTGTAGTAATTTACTTGATTTCGTAGCATGCTGAGGTGACTGGTAGAACCAAATCCAAATCCTTAGTCTTCAAATCTTCCCACAGATGAAATGCCAAGGGACATAATGTATAATCAAAAGTTGCAAACCATGTAGAGAAATAAGCCACATAAGTGACAGAGGCAGAAGAAATAACAAAAAGCAGAATCAGACCTCTGAAGACTGCAGATATAGAATTACTGGATAAAATAAACATGTATATGTGTACAAGTGTGTGTATAGATAGATATGTATGTACACACAGTCCTGAAAGTATGAGGAAAGAAAAGGAGCTTATAAAGATTAGCCAGGCCTAATCAAAAAAGAACCAAATACAACTTTTAGAAAAATACAGTAACTGAAAATAGAAGCTGAATAGATGGATTAAACAACAGATTGTAAATAGCTGAAGAGAGGATTAGTGAACTGGTAGAGGAAAATCAAGCACTAAGAGACAGAGTTGTAAAACATGCAGGATTAAGAGCTATAGGTAGGTAGCATGGGAGCTCTGGTAGTATAGTGCCTAAGGCACTTGACTGCTAACCAGAAGGCTGGTGGTTCACACCCACCAGCCACTCCTCGGAAGGAAGATGGGGGCAATCTACTTCCGTAGTGATACTGCCTCGGAAACCCAAGGAGGGGTCACTATGAGTTGGGTACGACTCGACGGTATATAACAACAACAACAGGTAGGTAGCATAATGCCCTGCCCAAAGGTGTTCACACTCTAATTCCCTTAGTCTGTGAATATGTCATGTTACATGGTGAAAGAGACTTTGCTTATGTGATTAAGATTAGGGACCTTGGGATGGGGAGAGTATTCTGGATTATCTGGGTTGGCCTAGTCTTATCACATGAGCTCTTAAAAGCAGATAACCTTTCCCAGTTTAGATCAGAGAGGTAAGGCAGAGTAGGGAAGCAGAGGAAAGATTCAAAGCATGGGGTCTCTACATGCCATTGCTGGCTTTGAAAGTAGGAAGGAGGCCATGAGCCAGGGAATGTGGACAACCTTTAGAAGCTGAGAATGACTTCTGATCAACTGCCAACAAGGAAATAGGGGGCTCAGTTCTATCGCAGCAAGGAATTGAATTTGGGCAACAACTTGAATGAGGCTGGCAGTGGATTATCCCCAGAGCCTCTAGTAAGGAATACAACTCTGCTGGCGCCTTGTGATTACACTGAGGAGAACCCAATGGAGCCACCTGGATTTCTGGCCTACACAACAGTGAGACTGAAAAAAAAAATTGTATTATTTTAAGCTGCCCAAATTATAGTACTTGTGACAATACTACAAAAGAAATTGAATACAAGAAGACAGAGTGAGAAAGGCTAAAACATGCCTAATCAGAATAGAGAGAATAGAGGAGATACAATCTCTGAAGACATGATGGCAGAGAATTTTCCAGAATTGATGCAAGACAAATTTAGATTTAGGAACTCAACATATTCCAATAGAATAAATAAATAAAATGAAGTTTAGATATATCAGTCAAACTGCTGAACCTGGCACAGAAGATTTTAAAGCAGAGACAGAGAAATTAGACCCATGTTGATTTCTCAACAGCATTAATGGAGGCTGGAAAAAAACTTTTTTTTTTTACTACTTATCAAAGTGTGAAGTAGTAATAAACACTTTGGAAAACAATTTAGTGTTGTCTAATAAAGTTGGATGTGTGCCTACTCTAGAGCAACTCTTGTATATGTGGACCAGGAAATACATATATCAGTATTTTGTTAAAAATAACAGCATTACTTTTAGTAGCAAAGATGGAAGAAAAGCAACTGTATATCAACAGAAGAATGGATGAATTATAGTATATTCATAAAATGGAATATTATTCAACTGTGAAAACAAATTAACTGTAGCTATCTACATGAACATGGATGAATCTTATAATGTTGAATGAAAAAAGTTTTAGAAAACTCACACTGTAGTATTGTTCCCCTTATGTAAAGTTCAAAATATGCAATACTTAGGGGGTACCACATTTCTGTTAAGATTGATGGAAAAGTTTAGAAGCAGATAGTGATGATGGTTGCATAGCATGATGAACATTAACATCACTGAATTGTACATGAAAAACCTGTTGAAATGACAGATGTTTTGTTATATGTATTTTTACCAGAATTAAAACAACAACAACAAAAAAATTGCAACACTGAAAAATGTGTTGGGATCTAGACTACAAAGTAAAGCAATAAAGAATAGCAAATTCAGGTTAGTATTACTTCTGAAGGGGAAGAGGATATAATTGAGAAGTACACACTTAAGGCTGCTAAGGTATTGGCAGTGTTCTGTGTCTTAACCCGGCTGATGGGTAAATAGACGTGTAAGTTACAGTACAGGCTAATTTCTGTACTGTGGCTCTCACATAGCAGTTCATTGGTGAGGGGTCCAGAGCAGATGGGACAACACTGACGGCTCAATGCAGTTTTTCAAACTGCTGCATAGTCTTTGCCCCTTCCCAGCCAGCTGAGACTTCGATGAGTCTAGGAAGGAAGCTTTGTTTTTCAGGATGGGACCAGGGAGTTGCATGAATCACTTCCACTCAGATGGCCATACAGTGCTGCAAGGAAGGTTGGGAAATGTAGTCTCTGAGAGTCACTGAAGGGCTTCTTAATAAGGAAAAAGATGAGAGTGAGTATTACGAGACAATTAGTGGTTCTTTTGCTATAGGTGCTCTTTTTATATATATACATATATATACCTTAAATTGCATATTTACATCACAGATATTCTTTTGTGCTTATTTTATATTTCATAATAAAAAAGTTAGAGCAGGTAGCACATGTGAACTGTTATTTTAAGGAATTTGGAAAGGAGAGGACTAGCAGGAATGGAGGACTGAGGGAAAGTGTTTTTCTTTTCCTTCAATTTTGTTTTCATTTTAAAATAAGTAGTACAGTGCCTAAGGCATTTGGTTGCTAAGCAGAAGGTTGGCAGTTCAAATCCACTTGCCACTCATGGAAGGAAGATGGGGCAATCTACTTACATAAAGATTTACCACCTTGGAAATCCAATAGGGGTTGCTATGAGTCAGAATCAACTTGATGGCAGTGAGTTTTTTTGTTTTTTAAATATCTGTATGGGAGAAGAGCAAATTGGAGAACATTAGAGAGAAAGGAGACCAGGTTCCAGTCCTGTGAGATAAAAATAACAAGGAGGACTAGGCAAAGGAGCAGAGAGCCTTGAAGGGAAGCCAGGATACTGTGTCCTCTGAGCTGGGAGCACTGTGGACCCTCATGAACTGCAAAGCTTAGCTCCTGGCATGGCTCAGTGTCACTGTCATCTCTATGCCTGTACTTTAGCTTCTCACAGATGGGAAGCATCATCAGGTACTTTTCTGCTGTATCTTCCCTCCCATTCCCCAAATGCCCCAACTTAGTGCTAAGTGCAATTCTAAGAAAAGGTGAGCACCTTATTCTGATTGAGCTGAGTTTAATCCTGACATATTTATCAAAGATCTGATTGAGGCTGTTTGATGTAATTAAATTGTTTTTTTTTTGTTTTTTTTACATCTAATTTGTTTTCTTTTAGATTTAAAGGTACAGTTGAAGAACTCAGTAACCAGATTTTATCTGCCCGGGATTGGTTGCAACAGGAACAAGAACGAATAGAAAAAGAACTTTTACAGAAAATTGATCAGCTTTCCTTGGTTGTTAAGGAAAACAGTGTAAGTGATGCTTTGCAATATAATACTAAAATTACTCAGTGGGGGGCCTACAGTGTTTGACTATTACCTAGCAATTTATCACTAATTTATTTAGCACCACATAAAGCTTTTCAGTTCTTTCTTCCCTCCAAACCCATTCCTGTGGTTCACACTGATTTATAAAGAGATAGAAGCACTTTAATTTGTTTTGGTTAACAAAGGCTAGGTAGACAGAAATTTCAATAGTTTCAGCCAAGACTAATTTAAGTCAAGATCTTAATGATATGAATTGAGCATCTACATTTTTTAAGTAAGATGAACAATTATGAAATTCATCCTAGTTTGTATTAATTTCATGATCTGGTTTTCCTTTTTCCTAACGTTAAATAGATTTCTCACTCCAGACCCTTCCATTAAATTATGGCCACAGTAGGAGGTGCAACGTGTTAACAGAATCCTCCATTTTCTTTTCCACCTTTCATCTCCGTCTGTCTCAGATGGCCCAGAACCAAGCTGAGCACCAGCAGGAGAGTCTTGCAATGTCATAGCACATCTATATCCTGCTCTCTGCGGTCCTGGCATCCAAGGCTTGCCCACAGACACAAAGGCCCATAAAAACCAAGCACAGTGGGACAGGAAAGAAAATATTTAATATTTCCTTTTCAGTATGCACCTACATTTTCATTGGGTCTACTGCATGATTTGCTTATTGTTGTTTGTTGTTATGTGCCATTGAGTCAGACCTGACTCATAATGACCCCTCCTTGGGTTTCCAAGGCAGTATCACTATGGAAGTAGATTGCCCGGTCTTCCTTCCGAGGAGTGGTTAGCAGTCAGGTGCCTTAGGCACTATACTACCAGAGCTCCCATGATTTGCTTATATTTATATTAACACATATTTAGGTATTTGGGTCTTTGGATCACTGTTTATTTTTAGATATAGATTGGTTTAATAACTAACAGTAAACTCCAGGATAATGATGGCTTTAATATAATAGAAGCTTCTTTGTTTTTTACATAAAGGAAATATGGAGGTAGGTAGTTCAGGGCCGTAGTGTGTCAGTCCTCAGCAACCAGGTTTGTTCTGACTTAACTCTCTGCCAGTCTTACAGAGTGACACTTGTCTTTATAGTTCAAGATAACTGCTAAAACTGCAGCCATTATCTCTAAATTCCAGAAACAAAAGAAAGAAGGAATGGGCAAGTGTATGCCCCAGCTATCTTTTAAGATATCCTGGAAGCTGCCACATATACTTATTCTTACAGCTCATTAGCAGAACTTATATGGCCACACCAAGCTTAGGAGATAGTGGAAAATAAAGTTTTTATTATGAGTAACTTGGTATCCAGGTGAAAACTTGGGGTTTAGGGAGAATGGATACCAGGGTGGGCAGCTAGAAGCCTTCGTGGCTCTGTGCCCTGCAGATTGTTGTTACATTATATTTTGGCTGATACGAATATAGTGTAGATTTTTTTTTTTTTTTGAGTAACCACGTACAATTCTTCTCATGGAACTCAGGGAGCCAGTGAGAGAGACATGGAGAAGAAGCTCAACCAGATGTCTGCCAGACTTGACAAAATAGAAGAGAGTCAAAAGAAGACTCTAGACGTACAGAGAACAAAGCAGGAAGAAGAGAAGGTGCATGGGCGAGTCAGCAAGCTTGAGTTACAGATGAATGAGGCCATGAAGGACATGAAAGCAGAAATTAATGCTGGTGGGTCAAAAAGAAAACAACTCACATGGTTTGGTTTCTATTTGATTTAAAAATCTACTAATTAGTATCCACCTTCAACTATCTATGAACCTGACTAGTGTAAATAATAGTGGGATGTTCTTAGGTGATTTTCTAAGTAGGAATGGTGTATTGAATTAAAATGCTGTTTCAGTTCCAATTACATGAAGGTCCACCACAAGGGAAAGGCAAACAAAATTAAAATTTCTCAACTTGCAACTCATGTACATTTTCTTTAGTGCCATCTACCAATTCTTTTTTATTCATAGCCAAGGTCAGCATGTCTTAGAAATAAGCATATACCTTGGCAGGGCTTTTGAGGGCCTCTTTTCTACTGTTGGCTGTATACTTCCCTGGCAATGAATGATTTCCCCCTACTCAGAAGTCACCAGGGCGCATTATATTCACAGTTGGATAGAGGGGAATGTTAGAGCTGATTTCAAGATCTGAAGTGCTGTCATCTAAAGGAGGGAGTAAAGTTACACTCTGAGCTCAGAAATGTTGAAGTGGGACCAATAAATGGAAGTTACCCAAAGATGGAAATATCTTACAAACAATATGTCCCAAAAAGAGGCTACTGGCTTTGTGACTTGGAGAGCTCTTTTGTTACTGAAAGTATTGAAGTGGAGATGGGTTGAACTTGGCCAAGGAAGAGAAGACAGTTTTGCAGTGTGAAAAGTTGGACTTAATTTATCACCTAGCCCCTTACAAGGAGCTCTAGTGGTATAATGCCTAAGGGATTTGACTGCTAACCAGAAGGCTGGCGGTTCAAACACACCAGCCACTCCTTGGAAGGAAGATTGGCGATCTACTTCTGTAGTGATACCACTTCAGAAATCCAAGGAGGGTTCGCTATGAGTTGGATGCAACTCTATGGCAGTGAGTTTGGGTTTTTTTTGTGCCCCTCACAGTTCTATGATTCCATGAATTTTCCTCTGTGGAATTACTCTGTTTAAGTCATATGGAAGTTGTTGTTGTTGTTATGTTCCCTCAAGTCAGACCCCACTCATAGCGACCCATGGAAGTAGATAAGCCACAGTTAAAATTTATGGATTAGAGAATCTCTGAAGATAAACATGAATTCTCTTTCCTGGTCTTTTGGGCCATTTGGATATGATATTTGAATACTTCATCCATGTTTAACTTTGCATCATTTCCTGAATGAATTCCCTGTTATGTATTCAACATACCATTGAGATTGTTAACATTTAGCTCCATAATAAGAAATGTTTATGAGCCTTTTACAAAGTAAAAGCATTTATTTTTTTCTTATTAAAAACTAATATATTTCCTAGCAGAAATTCAAAACAACACAGAATATTTTTAAAAACATAACTCCTGTCATGCAGAAATCATTTTGATACATATATTTCTGTAATGTAGAAAATATATAGATACATAGTTTTTCAGATAAAGGGTCATACTGTGTAATCTGATTGGTAACCTGGTTTTTAACTTATTACTATGTTGTATCTTTCCCTGTTGGTAAGAACATTATTTTTAGCAAGTAACTTTTATATGTTTTTTTCATAAGCTTTCACATAAAGAAAATTTTCTGAGAGGAAATTCTAAATTTGCTAATGAAAATGAGACTTGTAAAAAATTTATTTTAGCAACAATAGGAATACAGAATAATATGAACTGCTTTTTGATGGGGAGTTTTTTCTTTAACTTTTAATTTTGAAACAATTTCAAGTTTAGGAAAACTCAAGAATAGTGAAAAAAAAAAAATACATATATAACCTAGCTTAATTGTTAACATTTGACATATTTGCTTAATCTCATGCCGTCAATTCAGCTCCAACTCACAGTGATCCTGTGTACAACAGAACAAAACACTGTCAGGTCCAACATATCAGACAGTGTTTCACTGCTATTCATAAGGTTTTCAGTGGACAGTTTTTTCAGAAGTGAATAGCCCCACCCTTCTTCCCAGTCTGTCTTCATCTGGAAGCTCCTCTGAAACCTGTCCACCATGGGTGACCCTACTAGTATTGAAACATTGGTGGCATAGCTTACAGACTCACAGCAACATGTAAGGTACCACAGTATGACAAACTGATAGACAAGTGATGGAATCTTGTCCTATATGTATATTGTTTGTTTGTTTGTTTGTTTTCCCCTGAATCGTTTGGGTGTAAGTTGCAGAAGCCATGTCTACCTCTTTATGAGTTCAATATGTACATCCTAGGAATAAGGACATTCTCTTAAATAATTATAGTATAATGTAACATCGATGAAATATTTTTAAATATTCAACTTTCACCTACTGTTTCATAGCAAACATTTCCTGGTCTAGGATCTAATCTGAATTACACATCACATTTAGATATCATGTTTCTTTATTTAGTCTCCTTTATCTTACAATCATTCCTCACTCATGGTGGCATTTCTATAGACTATGGGCCAGTCCCTCAGTTTGGGTTTGCTTATTTCCTCTTGATTGGATCTATGTGTTTAGGACAGAAATACCACAGAAGTAATATTGTGTCCTTCTCTGGATATTTTATTAGCAGGTACATAATATTGGTTTATTCCAGTATTGGTGATACCAGTTTTGTTTGGTTGTTTAAGGTGGTGTCTGGGTAAAATTCCTCCATTGTAATGATTCTGTTTTGCCCTTTGTAATTAAAAAGTAAACTGTAGGGAAACATACATAAATATTCTATTCCTCATCAAATTTGTACCCCAGTTGTTATAGCATCTGGTTATAATTTTTGGTAGAAGCAATTAGTAGTATGTTGTTGTTGTGTTTTCCATCAAGTCAGATCTGACTCATAGCAAACCCTCCTTGGGTTTTTGAGGCAGTATCACCATGGAAGTAGACTGCCCAACCTTCCTTCTGAGTGGCTGGTGGGTTTGAACCGCCAGCCTTCTGGTTAGCAGTCAAGTGCCTTAGGCACTATGCTACCAGAGCTCCTAATTAGTAGTATATGCTGTAGAATTCGACACAGTATTTTTCAGTATTAACTCTTGTGGAATTTACCTTTTCTTAAAGGGTTTGCAGCCATCTATGAAAGCATAGGATCACTGAGGCAAGTTCTTGAAGCAAAGATGAAGCTAGACAAGGACCAGCTGCAGAAGCAAATTCAACAGTTGCAGAAGCCAGAAGGGACGCCCATGTGAAAGGAGTCAGAACAAAGGTCTAAAAAGAGGTTTTGCCAGTGGGGCTAGGAGCCATGTAGCCAGGCCATTGCTGCATTCTGGATTGTTCCATCCATGGCGTGCATGTGTCAAGTAATATGTTTTCATGGGTCTAAATGTTTACCTTGAGTCTTGAAGACACTTCCTTTAAAAGTTATTAAATACAGTTTGTACCGTTTTATTTCAATGATCTAAATTCAATGGAATTTTTGACCCCTGGATTTTGAAAGACTTTATCTTCTTCATTTTATCAATGAAAAGATTCAATTTCTCTTTATTGCCCAGTGCTTTAGCCAACACTGTTTCCTATTTTGAAAACGTCATGGTGATTTTTTGAAATTAAAAATCTATGAGTTGTCATATGAATGTTGCTCCTTACCCTAAATTTAAGAGAATGCCCTGATAGGTTAGAATTCAACTTTTGAGTCCATATCTGGATTTTATTATTGTTGTCTGTGCATTTCTTATATTGGCTATCTTCCTGTAAATCTTCTGTCTTTTGTAGGGAAAAGGGATTTAACAACTGGGAAAAATTTGAATCTATGTACTGAAAATAGTCTTAAGAATTGATAACTGCCATATATAGATTACAAATTAAAATGGAAACTCAAGACAATTATCTAGACAATGTAAGGCACAATCTCTACATCAACCACCTAGATATATTGGGTTTTAATATTTAAAACTATTTTTCAATTATCCACAGCCTGTATCGTGAGAGCCATATATATTTACTAATGGGATGGTGGTTAACAAACTGTTTATTGCACAATTAATTTTTCATTAACCATAATGGGATGTAAGAATTTTTCAGGATTTATGACCTACTCTATAAATGTTTCCAAAATTGGCACAAAGTGCTAGGGTCTATATACACTTATTGTAACTATATTCTTGTGCCTTGGTTTTATCATGTCAATGCACTGTACCCTAGAGTTTTGCAGACAAAATAGAAGGCATGATAATACATCAGAATTATAATGTAAAAATGGGATCCTATGTATTTTTTAAATGTCCTAACAATTGTATCACTGTTAGATATTAATTGTTAAGTATTATTAATGGATTAGAAATTAATACTTTTCTATGGACAGAGAATCAAATTGATATTGCATTTATAACACTGTTAAGAAACTTTTATCTTGAGCAACTTTGTAGGTGACGGGTGTCTTATTTTCCATTACCATATTGGATTAGTCTTGAAAATTGGCACCAGTGCTGTTTGTTCATCTGTGTATGTAAATATCCATAGTGAGGCCACCGTTCTAAACTGTGAGGGTGCCCCCAGGAAAAAGAAAAACAGGAATACTTAAAAAATACTTAAACACTTTCTTTTTGTTTGTTTGCCAAGGACTCAGGAAAATAAAAGCGTTTTCTATTTTTTAGGAGAAATCATTAATGAAATTCTAACTGGCTATTACTGTTTACCCACATAAAACATGCTGCTAAAGTATACCATACGTTACGCTCAATGGCTTGATGAAATTTTATTTTAATAATTGGACTTCAGAGGTTAGATAAGGAATATGTCATCTACCTATATGTCCTTTCTTTGTCATGCATCTTTTCATCTCTATCCAGGAAGAATATTTCCACTTAGCCAAGAAAACAAAAGCTTAATGCTCTCTTGCCATGAGAAAGTTGACTCCCTTTTTGTGCTAGAGTGACCATATTTAGTGCAGTTCTCCACGTGTGAGCAAAAGCCACAGCATCACCCCTCCAGCATCTCTGTCTTCTGGAGAGCACACCAGACACCTGGGAAGAGGGGAACGGGGAACACCAGCTAGACTCTGGCCAAGGGTGGTGGTGGTTGGTGACACCTGGCTTTCAGCTGAATTTCTTAGGTGCTTCTGATGTGTCAGCCCATGTAACATGAGCTATTACAGCCCATGTAATATTAAACAAATGGGGAGTTTAAAAAGCTACTGATGCCCTGGCCACACCCCAGCCCAGTTTAATGCACAGGGATGGGATGCAGGCATGGGTGTGTGAGGCCCCAGCTGATTTCAGTGTGCTGCCAAGGCTGCAAGCCACTGAGCTAAGCCGCCTCTTACCACCAAAGTTTAAAGAGAATCAACTTCCATGTTCTTTCCTTAACCAGAAATTTGCAATAAAAAGAATAAAATTACCAAATAAATGTGTATAATTTTTCAATTTGAAAGTCTTCAGGTGAACCTGAGCTTTTAACAAACACCAATGAAGCCTCTTAAGGATTCTCTGACTGCCGTGGACTCAAAGGAAACATTCCTTTCTTAATTACCCATTGTCCTTTCTAACTTTTGGAAAATTGTTAATTAATCCTGCATATGTTCTGTGTCTACTTGTCCTTTAGTATAAAAAGCCCTGATTGTAAGCTCTGAGCAGAGGGGGCGTTTTTGGAGTCATTGAGACCCTCTCTGTCTCTCCTCGGTGCACCTTCTAATTAAACTCTTGTTGTCCTTGGAGGGAAAAAAAAAGTCTTAGGATGAAGTGAAAACTTAATGAGGTACAATGCCATAGGAAATGCTCCTTTCTGTAGTTGAAATAACATGCTGGAAGTCCTGGCAGGCCCTCTAGGACCTGGAAAGTCAACAGGAACTGCGCCTTCTGTGGGTCTTTGGGGCTGCCGGTGCCTTCTCTGCTCCCTTCTCACCTCTGTAATAATGCCAGATACTGTGCTGAGTCCTTCATGTGTGTTAATTAATTTCATCTTCACAACAACTACTTAAGTCCTATTTGTTTCCCTACTATATTGATGAGGAAACTGAGTCATCTAGAGGTTAAGCAATCTGCCCCAAATCCCACAGCTAATAAATGGGACCATGATTCAAACCAGGCAGCCTACTTTTCACAGCCTGGGTGCCTCAGCAGTGTACTAAGCTATTTCTGAAAATATATTCTTGCTTCCTGCATAACTCTGGCTCAACAGACCACTGATTCCTGCTCCATCTCTACATGATCTTAAGGTTCCACAACCTAAGTAGCTTCACTTTTCAATGCCCCAATTTCAAATACATGAGAATCAACCTTTTTAGCATACCTCTGGTCAGGAGACTGGTTGTGTCCATGCAGAAAGCAAGAGAGGTGGAGACAGCTGGTGCCACAGGATTGCTTGTCAATGGAGAGACACTGAGCCAGAGGCACCCAGCTAAGTAGTGCCCAGATTTCTGAACCACAAAACTCTGAGATAATAAGTGTTTTATGTCATTTTATGTGGCTGCATTTTGGGGTAATTTGTTATGTGCAGCACTAGACAGCTAATACACTGGCACTGGGGAAGCCTAACAGATTTATGTCATTAAAATGTTTGCTTCCAGGAGTGCCACATGTTACATGTTCATGTATGTATTCTTATTGAATATACTTTCTGAGAAGGAAGTGACTTTTAAATATGTATGTTATTGTTAAGTGCTGTTGTTGAGTCTGTTCTGCCTCAAAGTGACCCTGTGTACAGCAGAATGAAACGATGACTGGTCCTGCGTGAACCCATGTAGCAGCCACTCTGTCAACCCATCTCACCGAAGGTCTTCCTCTTCTTTGCTGATGTTCTACTTTACCAAGCATAATGCCCTCCAGGAATTGGTCCCTCCTGATAACATGTGCCAACTGAGAGGAAGTCTCTCCATACTTGCTTCTAAGGAGAATTCTGATGGTACTTCTTCCAAAACAGCTTTGTTTGTTCTTCTGGCAGTCCATGGTATATGCAATATTCTTTGCCATAATTCAAAGGCATCAATTCCCTGGTCTTCCTTTTTTTGTTGACCAGCTTTCACATGCATATGAGGCAACTGAGAATACCAGGTTTTGGTTCAGGTGCACCTTAGTCCTCAAGGGACATCTTTGCTTTTTAACAATTACTTCATTTTAAAAAGGTCTTTTGCAGATTTGCCCAATGCAGTACATCATTTAATTTCTTGACTGCTGCTTCCATGAAAGTTGATTGTGGATCCAAGTGAAATAAAATACTTGACAAACTTCAATTTTCCCTCCATTTATCATGATGTAGCTTATTGGTCCAGTTGTGAGGATCTTTGTTTTCTTTATGTTGAGGTGTAATCCAAACTGAAGGCTGTAGTCTTTGATGTTTAGTAAGTGCTTTAAGTCCTCTTCACTTTCAGCAAGCAAGGTTGTGTCATTTGCATATCATAAGTTGTTAATAAGTTTTCCTCCAATCCTGATGTCAATGTCTTCTTCATATAGTCCAGCTTCTTGGATCATTTGCTCAGCATACAGATTGGCTAAGTATGGTGAAAGGATACAACCTTGACATACATTTTCCTGATTTTAAACCATGCAGTATCCCCTTGTTCTGTTCAAATGACTGCTTCTTGGTCTGTGTACAGGTTCCTCATGAGCACAATTAGGTGTTCTGGAATTCCCATTCTTTGCAATGTTATCCCTAATTTGTTATGATCCACACAGTCTTTGCACAGTCAATAAAATGCAGGTAAATAGCTTTCTGGTATTCTTTGCTTTCAGCCATGATCCATCTAACATCAGCAATGATATCCCTCATACCATGTCTTCTTCTGAATATGACTTAAATTTCTGGCAGCTTCCTGTCAATGTACTGCTGCAACAATTTTGGCATTGTCTTCAGCAAAATTTTAGTCGCATGTGATACTAATGATATTGTTCAATAATTTCTACATTCTGCCTTTTCTTTGAAAAGGGCACAAAGATGGGTTTCTTCCAGTCAGCTGGCCAGATTGCTGTCTTCTAAATTTCTTAGTATAAACGAGTGAGTGCTTCCAGCATTGCACTCATTTGTTGAAACATCTCAATTGAAATCTGTTATTTATTTATTTTTCTTTTAACCGGTGTCTTCAGTGCAGCTTGGACTTTTTTTCCTCCAGTACCATCAGTTCTTGATCATATGCTACTTCCTGAAATAGTTGTACATCGACCAATTCTTTTTGGTACAATGACTCTGCATTCCTTCTATATTCTTTTGATACTTCCTGTGTTATTCAATATTTTGCTCATAGAATTCTTCAGTATTGCAACTTGAAGCTGACTTATTTTTTCAGTTCTTTCAGCTTGAGACATTGCCAAGCATATTCTTCCTTTCTGGTTTTTTAACTCCACATCTTTGCACATTTCATTTTAATTCTTTACTTTGTCTTCCCAAGCTGCCCTTTGAAGTCCTCAGTTAAGCTATTTTACTTCATCATTTCTTCCATTCACATTAGCTACTGTATGTTCAAGAGCAGGAAGCTCTGGTGGTATAGTGCCTAAGGCATTTGGCTGCTAACCAGAAGGCTGGCAGGTCAAACCCACCAGCCACTCCTTGGAAGGAAGATTAGGCAATCTACTTCTGTAGTGATACCACCTCGGAAACCCAAGGTAGGGTCGCTAGGAGTCAAATACGACTCAATGGCAGTGTGTTTCATTTTTTTTTTTTTTGGTTCAAGAGCAAGTTTCAGAATCTCTTCTGACATCCATTTTTGTCTTTTCTTTATTTCCTATCTTTTTAAATTATCTTTTGTGTTCTTCATGTAGGATGTTCTCAACGTCATCCCACAACTTGTCTGGTCTTTGGTCATTAGTGTTCAATGAGTCTAATCTATTCTTGAGATGGTTTCTAAATTCAGGTGGAATATACTCAAGGTTGTATTTAGGCTCTTGTGGACATATTTTACTTTTCTTCAGCTTCACCTTGAACTTACATATGAGCAACTGATGATCTGTTCCACAGTGAGCCCCTGATTTGTTCTGATTGATGATATTGAGGTTCTCCATCATCTCGTTCCACAGATGTACTCGATTTGATTCCTGTGTATGACATCTGGGGAGGTCCATGAGTATAAATGCCATTTATGTTGTTCAAAAAACGTATTTACAAAGAATAGGTCATTGTTCTTGCAAAATTCTGTCATACAATCCCTGGCATCATTTCTATCACCAAGGCCATAATTTTCAACTTCTTTGTCTCCAGCATTCATATTCCAATCACCAATAATTATCAATGCATCTTGACTTTATGTGTGATCAATTCCAGACTGCAGAAGTTGGTAAAAAAAATCTTCAATTTCTTCATCTTTGGCATTAGTGATTGGCGTGTAAATTGGAATAACAGTCAAATAATGGTCTTCCTTCAAGGTGTATGGATATTGTCCTACCACTGATAGTGTTGTACTTCAGGACAGATCTTGAAATGTTATTTTTGAGAATGAATACACCATTCCTCTTCAATTTGTCATTCCTGGCATAGTAGACCATATGTTTGTTCTATTCAAAATGGCTAATATCAGTCCATTTCAGGTCAGTAATGCCTAGGATATCGATCTTTATGTGTTCTATTTCATTTTTGATGACTTCCAATTTTTCTCAATTCATAAAAAACATAGTAAATGCAATGTATATCTTATTGCATTTATTTTTGAAATCATGCTAGTTAGTATGTATCATGTATTTTCATTTTGCAGATAGAGAAGAGAGAGATACTATACAACAGCTGAAGGTCATGGAGGAGCAGGAATTTAAATCTGTATCTATCTGTCTCTAAAGCCCAGGTTGCCATTTTGTTTCAAGATAAATAAATGAAGGCCCAAAGACATAGACTGTTTTACTGAGTAT